TTGGAGGGGGGGAGAGGAGGAAGGGGAAAAAATTTAGTACTCAAAATGTTATAAAAGTGAATGTTGAAAACTAAAAATAAATAAATTAATTTAATTTTTTAAAAAGTCAATTCAGCATTGAGCCTAGTATTATGGAAAAAGTACTACAGACAGCAAAATAACTACTTACTATATATATATATATATATATATATATATATATATATATATATATATAGAGAGAGAGAGAGAGAGAGAGAGAGAGAGAGAGAGATAGAGAGTATAGAGAAGAAAATATCATTTCCATCACTGCTATAATATAGCTATCTCAGGACACAGCTTTTTAGACTGAAGCAGGCAAGTTTTTGTCTTCCTCAAAGATAAATTCACACAGGAAAAAAATCCAATCAATTAATACAAATGAAAAAACTGAAAACTCCTAGCTGAATATATGTGAAAATACAGAGCTGTTAAAGCTTGAAATTGCACTATGACTCTTGGAACATCCTGTATAAAGGAAAGTAAATGGGAGGGCTATTACTGCAAAAAGACAGGTAGCCTGCTTTGTCACATCAAAGAGGACAACAAGGTTCCAAACACCCTCTCTCATTCTTCAGGATATCATGATGCTCCTCAAAGTTACTGAACTATTTGTAAAGCTACACAAAGCCACTTAGAACTGGCTGCCTACCTATGACAGCAATAAGGAAGTTACCAGAAAATTCTGAAATTGCTCAAGGCTAGAACATGGCTCAAGAAGTTAATAGGGAATGAAGTTTTGGTTCGTGGGGAGGAGGAGAGGTTGTGGCAGCAAGAGCAATGTTGAACATCACAATAACTTACGTATATATGTTCTCGCTGGAAAAGTTTGACTTCAGTATCTTACAAGTCTCACTTACATTAACAAGAAATTCCTTTGAGCATTATTAATATGCCATAGGTTTTCATGCTGCTAAGAATGGCACAAGGGGTAGAGGAAGAAAACCACTGCGGTGAGAATCAGGAGACCTACATTCTCATCCAGACTCTGCCACCTCCTGACTCTGTGACTCCAAGCAAGTCACTTCACCTCACTAGGCCTCAGTTTCCCTCATCTATAAAATGAGGTATTATTTATACCACCCCACTAGGATCACTGAGGAGCAAGTGAGAGAATCTGCCTCTTCTCTGACACTGACCACATTCCACTTTGTATTAGTTTTTTTGGTACAGAAAATTTATGTTCCCTAATAAGACTAGAAGCTTCTTAAAAACCCAGGTGCTGCTGCTGGTGGCACTGTGAACTGATACACCCATTCTGGAGAGCAATCTGGAACTATGCCCAACTGGCTATGGATCTGTGCATATACTTTGACCCAGCAATACCACTACTAAGTCCGTATCCCAAAGAGACTGGCCAAAAAAAAAAAAAGAACCTATTTGTACAAAAATATTTATAGCAGCTCTTTTTTGTGGTGGCAGAGCATTGGAAATAGAGAGGATGCCCATCAATTGGGGAATGGCTCAACAAGTTGTGGTATATGAATATAATGGAATACTACTGTGCTATTAGACATGATGAGCAGGGGCAGCTGGGTGGTGCAGCGGATAAAGCACCAGCCTTGAATTCAAGAGGACCTGAGCTCACCTGAGTTCAAATCTGGCTTCAGACACATAACACTTACTAGCTGTGTGACCCTGGGCAAGTCACTTAACCCCACTGTCTAGCCAGAAAAAAAAAAAGGAATGATGAGCAGAATGCCTTTAGAAAAACCTGGAAAGACTTAAACGAACTGATGCAAAGTGAGCAGAACCAGAAGAACACTGTACACAGTAATAGCAATACCATACAATGATCAACTGTGAATGACTTACCTATTCTCAGCAATATAAACAGCTAAGATAGTTCTGAAGGACAAATGATGAAAAATGCCATCCACCTTCAGAGAGAGATGGAATCTAAATGCAGATTGAAGCATACTGGTTTTTATTTTACTTTATTTTTCTTGTTGTTATTGAAGGTTTTTTTGGTCTGTGTTTTCTTTTACAACATGATTAATATGGAAATATGCTTTGCATGATTGCACATGTATAATCTTTATCAAACTGAATACCTTCTCAATGAGTAGGGAAGGGAAGAAGGGTGAGAGAGAATTTGGAACTCAAAATTGTAATAAATAAATAAATAAAGGTAGTTGGGGGAAAAAATAAGATACTAATTTTTTTAAAAAAAGGAAACCTAGGTGCTCATCAACACTGGTATCCTCAAAATACCCAGGATATAATAAGCATCCAGAAAATAAGCTCAAACCAGGCCCTAAGAAACAAGGTTTAACTTTTTGATCTGAAAAAAATATGACAAGATGCAAAAACAGAAGATATGAACAAAACTTTAATTTTATAAAGAAAAAATATTAAGTTTGTGGCAGATATGGGAATGATTAATATATCTGCATTGTGAGTTACACAAGTTCATTCACTGGCTAACAGATCCTGGCTAATGTATGAATCTTTAACCATATCTCAAAAGTGACAGGGACATGAAAACTTCTTCAAGATTACTGCTGACCACCATATAATAGGAAAAGACAGCCCTATGCCTTCCTTCTTAATAATGGAAATTGAAGACTTTTCCATGTCAGTTTTGCTTCCTATTTAATCTACACATATTTCTCAAGACATTATCAATACTTCGATGGATCTGTGATCTCATGTATTGGGGTACTTACTTGAATGGTATGAATTGCAAAAGATTTACATATTTCTCATACTATAGAATGCTTGCCAAAGTCTTCCCATAAACCTTCCAAATAAATCTACCCAATTTACCAAAGGCCTTTCATTTAACATTCTAAAAGAAAACAGTGGAAACAATCAAGCTGTCCTTTGTAATTTCTCTTTTCACAAGGTGCCCACCCCACCTCCTTTGCTGACCTAATCTATATTCATTAGAGCAAATGCATGGAATCCTGTTCGGGTGTAGACAGGATATCTATCTTGTGATGAAGCATCTGGATCATCCCCAATTTTAGCTCACCATTTATGAGAGGAATGGATGAATGCTACTTGGGATACTAACTGCAACATAAATTTAACAAAACAACACAAACCTTTGCCCAAAATGGAACAAGTTCACCTAACTTTCAGTAGTTCTAAAAACCAGACTGGCTTATAAGAAAATTCTAATGTATTTATTATTTTTGTTTATTTCTCTTAAGTCAAGCCACAAGGAAACAGATATTTCTATTATTTAAGTCCTCTTTCAAATTAGCTCAAATTACATTAGTTGATTTTGAATGGCTTTAAATCATTTTCTAAATCTTGGGCCCAGCCCATCTAGCCTATGTATAAATGGGCAGGACTCTGCAAACTCCAGTAACACAAGTGTAAATAAATTACTATTATTAAGACGTAGGAGTCCAAAACCTAAGACTCTAAGAAATAGAAAACATCAAAATATTAATGGTAAATAAGATGTTATTGTCCTAATTTCCCTACCCCAGCTATGTTTGGTCATCTTCATAAACCCAAGTAATATCAGAAACAACCAAAGGAATGAGAGGGTAGACCCTAAGGTATAAAGCCAATAAACTGTTAAAATAATACATCTGCTCTATGTCTTTTCATTTTTTAAAATCTATCTCAAATTACATTGTCCATAACCAGACTTCAAGATATTTACAAATGGGGACCATTTTTTTCTAAGTGCTTAACAAAGCACAATAAATATAGAAGTACAAGTTAATGTGAGCTAAATAGGGAAACAACATGCCTGGGTTTGTTCAAAACTGAAATTAATTAATTGGCCCACCTGCTTTTAATGCTTCCCCCAAAAAAAAATGTCAGTAAGTAGTCAACTCAATTATTTGGATATGATAAGCAGAAAGCTTTGATACAAACAACAGAAAACCTCAGATCATCCGTCTACCTGGGTATAATAAAATCCTAAAGTAAGAAAGAGGCCTGTCCCTTATGGTAAGATCTATCTCTGCCCCAAGACAACTTTGAAAGATTCAAAGCCAAAAGGAAGCTAGGAGATAGAGAACCAGCTCTTTTCTCTCTTCCAAAATCTTGTCCCTCTTCTCCAGCTGTCTACTGGACACCTCCACCTGGATGTCCCAAAGCCAGCTAAAATGCACCATGTCCAAAACAGAATTCATTATTTTTCTACCTAAACTCACCCTCTCCCTATTCCTATTAGGCCCCACCCTTATGGGTGCTCAACCTACGGGATCATGCTCAACTTTTCCTTCTTACCACCAATTTCCAATCAGTTGCCAAGTTTTATGGAATTCTACCAACACAACACCTCTCACATTCACCTCCTCTCCACTTATAGTACAACCAAAATAATTCAAGCTTTCCTCACCCAGACGGCTACAATAGTCTACTACTTTGGCCTCCTTGCATACAATTTTTTCCCTTTCTACTCTATCTTCCATGTGCCTATCAAATTGACATTGCTAAAGCAGAGGTCAAACCATGTCACCCGTCTGCTCAAAAAGCTTCCATGGTTCCATATGGGCTCTAGGATGAGAAGTAAGTTCCTCCGTTGGGTGTTTAAGGCCCTTCACAATCTGACTCCGGCCTATCATTCCAGGCTGACTACACATTCCTCTCCCTTACATACCCTAAGCTCCAGCCAGACTGGCCTAGTTATAGTCCCCAGTACCAAACAGTCTCTATCCAGCCTCCATAGTTTGCACAGGCTGCACCCCACTTCCAACATGTTCTATCTCCTACACTTTGCCTCTGGGAAGCTCCCTTCAAGGCTTAGCTCAATTGCTTCCTCCTTAAAGAGTCCTTTTCTGACTCCCTCAATTGTTAAACACACTAGTTAACCTCACCCATCGCTTTTACTTATTTGATATATATCCTAGATTTATATTCTGGGAACATGCTGTATCCCCTAGCAGAAGATAAGCCCCATAAGACCAGGGACTGTATCACCTTTGTATCTGTATTCCCAGTCTCGTTTATCCCCTATTTATTCGTTGTATTCCCAGTCCCAAGAACATAGTAAGTGCTTATGAAATGCTTACCGATTGATCTAACATTTAATCCAGCCCCTTCCCATGTACGGCTGAGGGAACTGAACCCTAAAACTTAAAAAGACACGCCCAATGTTACAATGGGAGTAAGCAGCAGAGGCAGGTTTCAAACCCTCCTCTGACACTGACTCAATGTAATAAACAATGGTGACAAGTCAATCTTTTCAAGCAGCTTTTATGAAACCACATTTATACAAGTTATACAGCAGCCATAAAGGCCTAAAAACCTATCTAGTGCAAAACGGCTTTCAAAATTTGGTTTTTTTAAAATAGATTTCACCTTTCACTGTCTATATAGAATAAAATTCCACTGAAGAGTTACATTATTCTTCATATTTGAAAATAAACTTTTGGAGGAAAAAAACAGTACTGGCCCACATAATCAACATTATGAAAATACTATTACATTTGGTACAAAACACTATTTTGTGCTTAAAATGATTAGTATATTACAGTTACATTAAATAACCTAATTTCATAATCCAGGGTCTTACAGTATTATAAATGCAAAATGAGATTGACACTGCTTTTTTAAAAAATGTTTTAACTGGCTTGCTGAATATACAGTATAATAGACAGCTATGTTATTATAAGAACCTCTTAATATCTACTGACTTTTTTTTAACCTGTTACTCCCGAGCTGTGGGACCATAACTGCACACAGCCCTCCTCTGTTTTCTAGTGTCCCTCTCAAAAATACCAGCAAATAGATAATCTAACAAAGACTCTATCAGATTTATTTTAAAACTATGCATCTGGGTCCATCTGTGAAATTCTCTGCTACTATCAATCAATTAATCAATAAAAACTGATTAAACAACCTAATAAGCAGCTACAAAGGCCTAAGGAATGTATTAAATACAGGAAGTCTAAGGCCCTTAAAACTTGTTACACCAAAGTAGCTTTCAAAATTTGATGTCTGGGTGCAGTGGATAGAGCACTGGCCTGGAGTCAGAAAGACCTGAGTTCAAATTGGGCCTCTGTGGGGCAGCTAGGTGGCACAGTGGATACAGCACCGGATCTGGAGTCAGGAGGACAAGTTCAAATGTGGCCTCAGACTAAACACTTGATACTTACTAGCTGAGTGACCCTGAGCAAATCACTTAACCCCAATTGCCTTGCAAAAATAAATAAATAAATAAATAAAGCAACTTTGGCCTCAGACACTTCCTAGCTGTGTGATCCTGGGCAAGTCACTTAATCATATTTGCCTCAGTTTCCTCATCTGCAAAATAAGCTGGAGAAGGAAATGGCAAACCACTCTAGTATCTTTGACAGGAAAACCTCAAATGGGGTCACTAAGAGTTGGACATGATTGAACAACAATGAAAATGTGCTAGGCACTGTTTGAAGTACTGAGGATACAAAGACAGTTACAAGATATCCCATTTCCTTGAGAAGCTCGCAATCTAATGGAGAAAAGATAACATGCAAACAACTGTAAAAACAAGCTATACACTGGATATCAAATTGGAAATAATCAACAGAGTGAAGGCACTAACATTAAGGGGAAAGGCTTCCTACAGAAGGTGAGATTTTAGCCGGGACCTGAAGGAAGCCAGAGAAAGCAGGAGGTGGAGAGGGAGAAAATGACAGATGGAGCAGAACAGAGAGAGGGAGAGAGAGGAAAAGGAAGAGGGAGAAGGGGAATGAGAGGACAGAAGGAGAAATGGAGAGGGTGTGTGTGTGTGTGAGTGTGAGAAACAGACAGAGAGGGAGACAGGGAGACAGAGAGAGACAGAGAGAAAACACACATTCAACACATGAGGGATAGTCAGTGAAAATGCCTGGAGTTTAGTAGAGCTCAGATTACGTTGAAAAAAATCGAGAGGGCAAAAATATTTCTCACAAGATCTTTTTCACTGGCCCACCAGGTACAGTCAAAAGCATCTCAGGAACTCAGTTCACAGTTAGGTTCTAGATGGAACAAACTCTGAAGTAGGGATGGATCCACTATCACATATTTTCCCTTGAATTTTTCCATTTAAGTAATATTAACTCTACTACAGTAGATATCCCTGTTGGGTTCTGCTGGAAAAGTGGGTTGCCCTGTTGGATCTGGGGCTTTAAAATATGTTCAAGATATGCTCAAATTTAAACATCTTTTCTTTCTATTTCAACTGTTTAACCTTCTTCACACGATACACAAAAACAAAACTGAAAATGTTTTGTCCAATTATTTTTAGAATATTTCAACATTTGGGAGGAGGAAGTATATAGAGGAAAAGAAATATTTTGGTTTCATACCCAAATAAAATTTTAAGTGCATTAAGCTGTTGAATTGCAATCACTATTTGAAAGTAAACCCCACCACATGCAAACTGTTTGCAACTTTTAAATATATTATGTGAAAAGAGAAAATTCATTCTTAGAAGCAGAATTTTTTAATTAAGCAGCCAAAGCAAAAGCAAAGAAATATGTACTTTTAGAAGATAATTATGAGAAGGCTCTTATCAGTAACTTATCATAAATAAAAGGTATTCAAGTCTTGTATTTGTCAGGGCTAAATCTGAACCTGTTACAGCAGAAATCTCTTTCAATTCAGCAAGTGGAGAAGATAGTTCAGCATCTACAGCTTTGTCTTCCATTGAATTGCAATTCAAATCAAATGCTGCAGTCTCCAATCCATCCACAAAGGACTGGTGTGTTAGTTCAGATGAGCTTTTATCAGACTGGACCGGAGATTCTAAATGACCTAAAAGAAAAAAATGGAAGCTTGGCAACCATACATTTGCCAGTCAAAAACACTACACAAAAATCATGGAATAGACAGTTTCATGACAACACATGATAAGGACAGCCAGTTACTAACAACAATTAACATTCACAATGTGCATTAAGCTGTTAAAAAACCAAAGCTGAAATTACATAAACACCCATTTAGGACTGATATCATTCCTAAATGGAAACAAAGGAGGAGCTAACTAAAGCAAGAAACAGAGTCACTGAGGGTGAAAACACAGAAGAATAAAGAATAGGAAATACAATCTAAGTCTGTTTTAACAGAGTGGCAGAATCACATCAATAATGTATATCTAAACCAACTTTCTGAAACTCTTACCACAAGGATATCGAAATCTGACTATAACATTTGGAAAATCTCTCAACCAATTTAGTAAAGAATAATATATCAAGAAATCATTGCAACACACTGCAGAATTTGATTTCAAAAGGATTTCATATTTGTTTAAAGTATATACAAAGGTTTGATAAACTCCATTTCCTTAATTTATACATCTTAGCCACCAGAAGAGCAGGAAACTGGTACATGATAGACAGATACTTACCTTCTTCTGATTCCTTGGCGAGAAGCAAAGTATCTTCTGAAGGAGCGCTATCAACCACATTTGCTATAACCAAGTCTGCATCTAGGATGTCATGGCTTCCACTATTAGAAAGCCTTGATGATCGTCTCCTGGTCAAGTCTTTGTCATTATTTTCTGGGTAGGTTTTTGGCTTTTCCTGAGCTAAAACCCATTAACAGAGCTGTAGTTAGTTGTGATTAATTTTAACATAGATGTATCAAAGCTAAGACTGACTTTCTGGGCTAGATTAACTTCTTATTCAGTATCATACAGAAAGGCTTATGGACTCTTACTCCAGTACACAAAAGGAAACATTTTCCTATTTTATATTTTTTAAAAGGTTGTGGTCTTGTTACCAAAGGAAAATTTTACTTATATAAAGATTTTGTGGTCTGAAAATACATGCAATGGGGGTCATTCACAAATCCTAGCTATTAAGGTCTATTTGGAAACTCCCCAAGAGTCCCAAATTCTACGTTACAATTCCCAAAGTCAATAATGTGGTTTATTCAGCATTTCACTCAGAACGAGAGACTAAAAATATTAGCAAGTCATTAAACTTATATCATGGTACATTCAAAATCAAATGTACTATCCTTTGTGTACAAATACAATGCTATTAACCCACACTCAAAATAGCACATAGCTGAATATTCATTTTTCTAGTATCAGTTCAGGGTTTGCACCAGCCTAGCCCCATATCATACCATGGAATAGCTTCAAATGTGCAAGACAACTGAGTAATGTAAGATAAAAGTTGTCAGTTTAGCTTCATCAAAATCATGCTCTAATCCAAGCTTAGAGTCTCTCTCTTGTGCACACACAAAATACTCACATGAATTTTTTTCAAGCCTGGGGCGCTTTAACGGGATTTCAGTTCCTTTTGATATTTTCCGGCGTCTTAATTCCAATGTTATTGGTTGCAAAGTTTGGGAATTTGGTTCTAGAAAATCAATGAAAATTTTAAAAAACAAGGAGAACCGAGCCAACTTCATTGACACATTCAAGGACATACATCTCTTTATGAAAATTACCTTATAACCAGCTAATTTATTTGCTTTACCTAAGAAAAGCAAGTTCAATTTTTCTTGTTCTTTCACTGTTGCCTCTTAAAAAGGCAGAAGGAGCTATTCATCATGTTATCCTTAAAAAGAGCTGCTGACACACTGCAGATGACTAAAATCAAGTAACATTTTGATTTTCCACTTCTTTTATGTTTTATTCCTATTATAGACATTTTAACTCAACCTTCATTACCCCAACTCATACTCATGTTCCCCTAAGCCTTGGAGCTCAAACATGTCAAAACAATTAACTTCCTTTAAAGTGTCAAAGTGCTATGATAACCAACTAAATTAATACCTGACTTAATGTAATTATTTTTTTAAAAAAACCATTTCTCCCATCCTTTAGTATCATAGATCTAGAGCTGGAATAGCCCTCACTCAGAAGCTATCCAGTCCTAACTCTTCATTTCACAGATGAGAAAACCCAGGCCCAAGAAAGCCATGACTTGCCCAAGGTAACACAGGTAGAATGTATTAGAGTTGGGATTTGAACTTCTGACTCCAAAGCCAAAGCTCTTTCCACTTTACCAGACTACTTCCCAAGGTCTTCTAAACTCTCATAGGACCTCTCAGTGAAATGACTGACTATAAGTATACAACAGGAATGTTGTATAGACACCATCATAAAGTATAAGTCCTAAACTCTTTCATACGATTATGGCCTTCAAACCCTATCTGGAAAATCAGACAACTTAAAGTTACCTGGTATGAATACAAGAAATATGAGTATATTTTCATATGGGGTCCCATAAACAATTCTATAAAGCTCAACTGAATTTGCTATTATAGTACACTCTTTAGTTATTTTTTTATTATTCTTGGCAAAGAATTTTTCATTATTCTTTGCTCTCTTAATTAATTCTTAATTCTTAGTGGCATAACTTAGCAATTTCTGTTACTGTTATTACTGTTTGTTTTCAAGCAAAAATAATTATTTCTACCTACTGGAGAAGGCTAAGAGCCAAGAAGACAACTATGCTTAGAGAGGGAGGAGAAAATCTCATCTAAAGTTGATTTTCACCCATCAAAGCTTGTGCCTTGTTCCTCTCAGACTCCTTTCCTTCCCCTTTTCCCCTCCCCACTCTTTCTCTCATATAAAGTAGGGTACAAGGAAACAGAATGGAAGAACTAGATAACTTCCTGGTTCTTCATCAGTGATTTCATTTCACAGTGTGAACTTTTTTTTAGATTTGTGAATATCTTGATCATATACAGGTCTACACAACATACCATTATTCAAAAGGGTATACAAAAACACATTCCAAAGTCAAACACAGATTACATCCATTACAAACCAAGGCTCTCCCAAACCCCACTGAACAGAACTCATTCAAGCAATTTTTACTACAACAAATTCCAAGGCAACAAAATAATTTGAATAATCTCTTAGAGTCTGCTGTAACAGAATTTTACTTAATATCATCTGTACACTGCATTAAAGAACACTGCCATACAGAATAGACTATTATAGAGCTGGAAGAGACCTTAGAGGTCATCTAATTCACCCTATCATATTACAGAGGAGGAAAACTGAGGTCCAGGAAGTTCACACACAGCAAGTTTTGGGCTGTAACTCAAACCCAGTTTTACCGACTTCTGTTTTGATATCCTTTTCTGCTATAACGCATTACCTTCTGTCTAGGAACAAAGAGACACAATTTAAGGATTGATTACATACTGTAGTATTCTACAGTCTTCCAAACTATCTTTGAAAACTGCCCCTGGATTACAAAGTTCATGTCACTCCCCCTTTCTAGCTCTAGTACATCCTTCAATGTATCCTAACCCATACACCTAACTTTTCTTATCATATTTACATTGTCTTGAATTAATTTTAAAACTCTTCGCCTTGATAAATAATTGACTTAGTTTGAGTTTCCTTTCAGCAGTTGCTAATAAGGTGAATTAAATGAAATTACTCAAATATGCACAAGCAAAAAACATCTAAGTTTGCAGAAAGTTTATGTCTGCATGAAAGTTTCTTCTGCATAACTATCACTGCAGTTCCAAATGCAACTGTGTACGTGGGTTGCAAAAAAAAAAAAGTCTGTTGCCTTGCTGATGTCACTGCTTAAGGACAACAGCACAATTCAACTCTATTTGCACATTTATGATCACAGAGACAGCATCTGGACATTACAGAACAACTTTTCCAAGCCAGTGATAATTGTGTCATAGGTGCCACGACTTCACTTTACCCACAACAAATAGACCATTTCCTGTAGAAAAAGTCACAAGTTTCTGCAACCACACGCATGCTCTTCAGAACTCACCAGACGGAGGTATGGAAGGGGGCCGGCCTCGCTTTCTTTTGGGCTCCCTTAGATTTTCCTGTGTATTCTTCACAATGTCATTCTCAGGCTTCTTGTCTGCCTGGGTCTCCCCAGAATATTCTCTGTCATTTTCTGAAATATTCTCCTTGTCTTCTTTCTCATTCTTCGGCAGACCTTTTTCAGACCCCTTCCCTTTTTCAGGACTGACTAACTTTCCTTCTCTGTCAGGCTGTCTGGATCTCTTTTCAGCCTTTAAAGTCTTGTCATCTTTGTCTTTCTTAGCATGAGCAGGCACTTTTCTCTGCTCTTTAAACTTCCCTCGGTTATCATGAGATGAAAAGCTTTCGTTATCTTTTTCTTTAGGCCTGGCATTGCCCACGATACTCTAAAACAGGCAAAACAGCAGTGAGAAATATTTTTGTGATTACTTACAGTTTTAAACTGGAAGGCTTCTACAAAGATTTAAAGACAAATAAATATAAGATGACATTTGTTCTATCTCCATCTTATACTGCATTGCTCAAAAGAACCATTCAAATACTGTTCTTAAAAACATCTTCATAAGCACTGGCCCTGGAGTCAGGATGACCTGAGTTCAAATGTGACCTCAGACACATAACATTTATACTAGCTGTGTGACCCTGGGCAAGTCACTTAACCCCAATTGCCTTGCCAAAAAAAAAAATCTCCAAGACTTAAAAAAAAAGGTTACTCCTATATTTCTGATATGTAATGCGTTTGAAATCCAGTTCTCCAATTCTGTAAAGCACTTATACTACCTTATGCAGAAATTGCTAAGTACTAGAAATAATATACAAATCTATATTCAGTCCATGTCTTTAGAAGCATCATCAGAGAGGCTTTTTAAAAATATGCATGCAGGACCCAAACTCTTCCTTGGTGCTTGAAAGCGATCCTTACCAAGTGAAGGAGTGGTTTAAAGGGCCATCACTATTCTTGGCCAAGCTCCTTTACCAGGAAAGAGCCTATGGAGCAAGATAAAGGTCATGCTTGGACCAAGGACCTGTGCTATATGCCCTAGACAATTTTCATCTCTGCCTTTAAGTGGCAGACTGTTATTATCTCTCAAGTATATCTATCAACAAAAACAATAAAACCTTCTGAACCCATAGTCTCTGAAACTTAAGGTATCAAAACACTTTCTCTGAATGTCCCTACCTTAGCAAGAAAAGCATAGGGAAAACAAAGGGAAAGGAATCATCTGTCAGTCCTCATTCCAAAATAACAACTAATCTGGAGACAAAATTCATTCTGAAGATCCAGGCTAAGAATTCTAAATTATATAAGACCATCAGTCTACAAATCTTCAAGCATCAGAGAACCTGAATCACAGAACTTGAAGACTCTGACAAGGCAGCTGCAACTGTCCTCAGCCAAAACGGCTACAGCATAGTTAGCCCTGGGCAAGGAAAAATCAAATTATTCTACCACACATGGCATGGGAAAGGGAAAAAGAGGCTATTTCCTATGACAAAGGTTCAAGTAAAACAATGACATTACAGTAAATAAAGTCTTTCAGAGGTAATAATATTTTTTTAAAAAAAGGTTTTCCTAATCTATTACTCATTTTACTATTTACTATTACTCATTCTTTTTGAAACCATTATAACCAATATAAAGATGTTAAGAACAATGAAAACAGAGAACAAAATATATCCTTTTGGACCAATTACTGTACTAGATGAAAAGTTCAAGATAACAACACAAGATAAATATCACTTAAATACCTATAATGTACCAAAACGTACACAGACAAAACAGGCATGCATCCACATGAGGTAACCTGAAAAGAAACCTTCCACAGGTGCCCCTTAGCACAGTGCCTGGCACAGAGTTAGTACATAATAAATTTTCTTTCTTTCTTTGTGTCTTTTTGTCTTTCTATCTTTCTTCCTTTTTATCCATCTATTTCCAACCCAGGTGGCTGGCCCTAGATCCAGAGCAGAAGTACCAGGAAATCCTATTCTTCAAGGGATTCAAATGACTCTCAAGCAAATGCACACCTACCCCAAAAACTGAGGTAAATGAGAGAAGCAACACCAACACACTGGATGAGATTTTGGGTGAGGGTTCCTTATACAGGATCAAAAAAATGTGATTTCTACAACTATGTGACCTTTTCAATCAAACTTTTAAAATTAATTTTGTTTTATTTTCTAATCAGGTTAGCTAGTAAAGCTGTGTCTTAGTTGATTAAAATACTAAAGAATTGGCTTTTTGTGTTGTTTTGCTTTTTAATTAAAGCCAGGAAAGCTAGAGGAATTCATGTACCTTAGAGGCCAGGCAGCAAAAAAAAAAAAATACAGAAATTAAAAAATTTTTTTTAAAAAGCCATCATTCAGACAGATTTGGGGTATGAATCTATTAGGAAGTATAGGAAAACCTTCCAGAGTGTGTTACATTTACCACATGAAGAGATTCGTTATTAATTTAGCAAACCACTTTCTTCTTAAAAGAAAACATATATTTTAAGCCCCACACCAAAATTATTTGCTTTATAAATCCCAAATAAGAAGAACCTGAATTAATGAGGTTTAATCGTAACTCAGAGTCCCGTTTAGTGCCTCTGGATTATATCATTAAACAGAAAGGAACAATTAGTTGAAACACCAGAATTTTTTTGTTCGCTTTTCAGTAGATTAACTGTTTCCTTTTGTGATGTAACATATTTAGAGAAGCATTTACTAAACTTATAAGGCAAACAGAAGCATTTAATTATCAAAGTGCAAGACTCCATAAGACTCTCTATTGAGAACTATTACACTGACTCACCACTAAAGAAGTGAGTAGCTTCACTGGATGATTAACAAACACTCTTACTAATTTACTAATAAAGTTCATTAAAAACCTGACATCTTTGAATATTTCAACAATTAATATTCACAATAAAAATCATAATTCTAGAAAAAAAATTCAACACCCATATTTTAAATCCTCTCTTTTCTCTCCAAAATCTTCACTAGGTAATGGATGTAAAATTCACTTAAAGGGAAAAAATATCCCAATGGGACAGAGCAAACTATAGTTTTGAGAAGGAATTAATCCTGTTGGGCTCAAGAATGAGATAACAAAGAAAATAACAACTATCATCCCAGGGCACTAAAGCAACCTAAAAAGAAATGCTCTTCAGGTCTCCTGAGGCCACTTGCTCAAGTAGAGTGGATACAAATGGCTCTACATGAAGAGAAAGGAAACAAAGAAAGGATCAAGGAAATGCAGAAATTGATAACTAAGTATATGTGTGCATCCTAAGGAATCTGAGTTAAAGAGAATTATAAATCAACTCTATTACCAAGTATTTTACTCAGAGACGCTTTCTTTCCTTACTGTGAAATCTGTGTCAGAGTGAGAGGATAAACATTTTTGCCATCATCAAAACAAAGCCAATGTCTTTATTTTTTTTAAGCAACTAAAACATTAGAATTATTCAAACTACATGCAAAGCACAAAACTGTTTCTCACCTGATCTTTGGAAAAAGCTTTGACATGAATATGTTTGACAGTCTGAATTACTCCATCATAAAATTTCACAGTATAAGTACCTAAAATTCAAAAATACATCATAAGTTTAACACTTGCATTTCAATTACAGAAACAATTTTTCAACGTTCAAAAGCACAGAATACCATCATACATCATCTGTAGGAATTAAAAATTACTTGGGAAATATACTTAGCCCTTATAGAACTGTATGCTTGAATTCATTTATCTATCAGGACAAACACTTCAAGTACTAACTGAATATAAAAAAAAGATCTTACAAAAATATATTCATATGTCATGTACATATTTGTTTCTCTTCTGATTTAGTAAAATTAAAAAAAATTCACCTGGGCTTTTTACTGGAAAACACTTAAAGAGTACGGGACTGGTGCTTCTTTGCAGATGTAGGGGGATCATGGGTTTAGAATACTGCATATAATGTCAGATTTTTTTATATATTAATTAGTTTTGCTGAACTTTTTTTCTTCTTTTTAATTTATTATCATAAGGGTTAGTTCTCTGAGAAAGAGGAAACAAGGGGAAATGTAGGTAATATAAAATCAAAAAATATCCAGAAAAATTTATTTTAAAGAAGAAAACAGGGCAAATGCCCACTTGTTTATTCTACAATGAACTGTGAACATATAGAATTGGAGACAGATCCTTTTGAAAGGTCTATGGGTAGCCCCGTGTAATCATAATTCTTAAAAATTATGAAAGAATCTCATCTATTCACCCAGATATCTACAAAAAAGAAAGCCTTGTTCATAATAATATAGCTGCATTACTAGATGAATATATGAATTATGCTCCATGATACAATAATATTTATAACTAATGAGTCAAAACTCCTAGTCAGCTGCTTCACTCACATCCATAGCTCTAGTCCATTTAGTACATGTATATTTCAGATTCAGATGGAAAGTATATACTCACCTAAAAGCAAATTTATAAATTATTTCATTACAATACTGCCAAATTCAACAAAGTGTTACTGCATGAGCCCAATGATTTTCTACATTTTCCATCCTACAACCCGCAGCATGCCCTACATCCTGCCTCCACACAAAAATAAGTGCCCACAATTACCTCTAAAGTTTGGCCCTACTGCATGTTGAGCCCGTGGAGCCTCTTTAAGCAATGAAGCAAATACTTAATAGAAGTACATATCTGTCCTTCCATTATGAGGAGGTTTCATAACTGACCTCCAAGCTTTCCCACTTGCTCCCCCCTTCAATCTACCTTGAACACAGGAGCTACTTCAACCTTCATAGGCCTATTTAATACCCTTCACCTTTGTAACTCCAATCCTGAGGGCTGAGCAGTTCTGATTGGTGAGCGAATGAGTGTTAACTCAATGGCCCTCCTCTATTTCCAACTAGCTCCAGACAGCCACACCCATGCCACCAAACTCCCCTCCACCTCTTGCTCTGAGAAACAATCAAATCAGTGTTGCCATTGCTTTGCAAAGGGTACATCAGTGAATTCCTCTATTATGGCTTTACTCAAGATGTTTGTGACTTTCCGGACTAAACTCCCCTTCCCTGGCTTTTCACTGCCCTACACATGTGGAACCCCCCATTAGGATATAAGCTTCTTTAGAGCAAGGATTATTTACCTTATTTCTGTATTTCTACCTCCAGCAAGGAGCACAGTCTTTGGCTCATAGTGAGTGCTTTATAAATGCTTTTCATACATTCAGTGCCTCCCCTTGAACTTAACAGGTTAAGTTCAAATGCCTCAACCTAGCACTCAAAGATCTCCATTATCCCCCTCTACACTCCATTCTAGCTAGATTCATCTCTGAAATAGGTCTTGTGCATTGTCACCTCTACATAATCACAGAATGTCAGAATTAGAAGGAATCTATGACATCCAGTTGAATCTCCTCATTTATGGAAAACTATTAAATGACTCATTCGAGGCCACACAGGTGCTTTGTCCAACCACACTACATGGAAGTGGGGAAAAAACCTACTATGTGCTGATCTAAATTTACCAATCAGATAGAATAGATGGATTCTTACTTACCATTGGTTAAGTTTTCCAATTAGAAAATTCCTGACACTAAGAGAGGGTTGAGATTAGGTAATTTTTACCTGAAAAATGTTTTCCTAGCAACACGTAAAATAAAATAGAATGTAAGAATATATAAAAAAATGACATCACATTACCACCTGACTAGAATGACACCTGAGAATGAAGATGGCAGCCCCAGTCCTATATGTTTGCATGTAGATATCTGACAAGCTATAAAAATGTAACCTCTGGGAATATATCTCTAAAATTATAATGTATGTCAACAATAATATTTGGTTCCCTTTGCCAAAATTAATTTTAGAAACTTTTTTTAAAGGAACATTCTCCAAAGAGATATAAGGAGATACCTCCTCCCTAGCCTTTGAAGAAATGGGGGGGGAGGGGGGACATGGAGTATGGAACACCTATATCCAACATAAGACTTTTTTGATATATTGACTAGTTTTGCTGAATTTTCCCCTCCCTCTTTTCTATTCTTTATTATAAGGAACAGCTAGCTAGAAGGGGAAGGTATATAGTTGGAAATGTAGGTAATATTTTTTAAAATAAATCAAATTAAAATTTGCTTTTCAAAAATGAACCTTCTCAAATCTTAAGTAGGATACACTTAATGCTTCTGTGTCTTCATCAATTCACATCCATTTTTCAATATAAGTTCACAGAGTTTGGAAGCTGCCCAGATAAAGACTAGGCCAAGGCAGTTACCTAAAAAACAGAGTTGTAAAAGACCTTATACACAAATGGTAAATGACCTTCAGGAAGAAGAAATTTCTGGAGAAATCCACACTAACGATAAGTTGTTTTTTGTCCACCCTTCTCAAAGTGGACCATAACATCAGGAAGATGATGTCACGACTTGCAAGTCAATTGGATTTGTGAGGCAGGACTGTGAAAAGTCACCAGCCTCACTCTCTCCACTGCAGCCAGTGGCAGGATATAGATCAGGACGACTGAAGATGGCCTCAGACGTATTGGGAGACAAGAGAGGAAAGCATATGTTCCTATCTTAGCCTCTTAGACTTGGTTTTCCTAACAGGCTCAGTCCCTGGCCCTAAAAATAGAAATTTTGCCTATGGAAAATTTCAGAGGTGCTTACTCTGAGGATGTTCTAGTTGCACTAATATACCCAAACCAGAATAAATCAATGCTATAACTGAAGAAATCACTTAGCTGTAACATAATGTAACCTAAACGTCACTTGCATTCCAATGGTAAAGGCCCAGAACCTCAGAAAAGACAGGCACTATTCACCTGTGAGACAGCTGAGAAAGGAAGTACTCCTCCCACAAAAGCTTAGCTCCAGCTGTCCTTTCCTCATGGACGAGCAGGAAGAAAGCCAGTGAGAGTCCAGCAGACATTCACAGATCAGCCAAAGAACAAGGATTGAGAACTGGGAGAGACATCAGAGGCATCTGATCCAGCCCCATCATTTTACAAGTGACAGAGCCAAAGCCTAAATAGGGGAGTGACTTGTCTAAGAGCACATGGGTAAAATTTTAGTCCATATCCTCTGATTCTAATGCCTATTCCCTCATTAATAATAATGACTATTAATTACAAGAAGGATAAACAATAACTATATTACTTACCTCAGATGATCATTATAAGGATCAAATGAGATAATCTACAAATGTAAAGCACTCTGAGAGCTTTAGTACATTATATAAATGTCAGCTATCATTCTTAGGTTAGAAGAGTTTCATGAGATGAGTTACCCCCATTTTACACATAAAGAAACTGAGGCTTAGAAAGGCTACATGGGGGCAACTAGGTGGCGCCATAGATACAGCACCAGCCCTGGAGTCAGGAGGACCTGAGTTCAAATCTGGTCTCAGACCACTTGACACTTACTAGCTATGTGACCCTGGGCAATTGCCTGGGGGGGGGAAGGCTATATGATAGGGGCAGCTAGGTGGCACAGTGGATATAGCACCAGCCCTGGAGTCAGGAGGACCAGAGTTCAAATCCAGCCTCAGACACTTGACCCCTACTAGCGCGGGCAATTCCCATGCTTCCCTACATCACTGTACACCCAGGAGCTCCTGTCTGAGTAACCAAAGGTGCCAACATAGAAGACTGGGAGCCAGGGCAGTGTGAGACAACACAGGGAACTGAATCTAGGCTCTGACTTTTAGTTCATACCCTAAGTAAGTCACATAGCCTTCTTTTTTGGCAAGGTAATCAGGGTTAAGTGACTTGCCCAGGGTCACACACCTAATAAATGCCTGAGGCCAAATCTGAACTCAGATCTTCCTGACTCTAAGCCCAGAGTCCTATCCCCTTGAGCCACTTAGTTGCCTCTACTCTCATACTAGGGGACTTCAACATATATACTGATTCTGCCAATCCCCCTAACTTTATGGTTCATCAACTTACTCATTTCACATGACCTACTCCTCCACTCCTTCACTACACATAAGTCATACACAGTGGTCGTACCCTTATCTTACCATCATCCACAAAGGTACTATTTCCATATTTATGAACTCTCAGGTTTCCTTACCTAATCACAGTTTCTCGTCATTCCACCTCTCCCTCTGCCTTGTAACCCCAAACCAGGTTCTTCAATTTAACATGACCCCAATCCCTCAAACCCTCAGTTTTTTCCCAGACCATCACTCCTGCACTGGCTGTACTCCCCATCTTGAACCCTTAATAAATGAGATCAACTTTACACTGTCCTCTTTTCTAAGCCTCTTGACTCCTTATGCTACTGCTGATCTTGCCCTGCCAAGCCTCAGTTTTGGATTATTCCCACCATCTGCTGTCTTCATTCCTACTCACGTGTTACTGAAAGAAGCTGAAGAAAATGCTGACTAAAACTACTGCAAATTTATGTTACATAATTTCAACTGGGTCCTCACTACAGCATGGAAATCTTTTCATACCTCCCTCATTAACTCACAACCTCACTCACCACACCAGCTTTTCCAAATCTTTTCACCCCTCCTTAAACCTCCCATGGCTCTCCTGTTCCCTTGCTTCATATTTCATCGAAAAAATTGAGGCCATTCACTTG